TGGAGCTTATTTTGTTAAACATGAAATATTTCAGAGCTACTTGTGCTCTAATGAGCTGAGTGGCTATAGTAGTGACATGCCTAGTTTTAATACTGTTTAATAACCCATAATGTTGCCATAGTTTCTCATTTCCTTCAGGGAAAATTATGATTTGCTCTTTTTGATAGCTAAAAGTCTGAACTGTCACAATGGATCTACCCAATAAATAAAATAGGTGCTTATTATTTCCGACTGATGTCTTCCGAGAACTATTCATAAAATATTGGCATTGAACTCTTGCATGCGATGTAGTTTGAGCTTTTAGCAGAAAAAGCAGCAGGAGGTGGTTTTATTTTTTGTGTCAAAGTGTGCTAATCCTTATCTTGGAAAAATGTTGAATGAGCGATGAAAGTTGAAATGATAATCCCTTCTGTGAAAGCCATGCCTGTAATGCATTCCCAGCATGCAAGGCATTTACAAGGCTTTATATCCTGCCGGACAATCGCTCACAATGTTTTTGGAAACAAATATCAGGAAAAGTTAATGATGCTCACCGTAATACTTTCCCAAAGAAAGTATTAAAACTTTGTCTCGTGAACTTAACTTTTACTGTAATTTTGTTTATTCAACCATATGCATTATAAAAGGGGGTAAAAGCTTGAGGAAATATATAAAATAGGCTTACTGTTTGTAAATGAAGTTAATTTAAGAAAGGCTAAGTGCACCAAACAGATGATTGCTTTTTTGTGTTTGTAGCAGACATATTATTGCTGGAAGAATATGAGAAGCAGAGCTTCCCTAAATAGCCCTCATGTCTTTTTATTCAACATAAGACAAGCACAGACCGGATGTAGAATTTGTACCAGATTGCAAATTAAAGATTCACTAGGTTTGGAGTTCACGGCGAGAATGAATCAGAGTAGCACTGATAATAATGCTTTCTGAGCCTCCAGTGGTGCTTGAAGTACACCGCAGTATTGTCCGTGGCTGTCACTGGTCTGACTTATTTATTTAATACCGGCTTGATGGCAGTTTTGATAGTGGTTTCTTGATGCTTCTTACCCGCTAAAGCTGTTTTAGTGTGTGTGTGTGTGTGTGTGTGTGTGTGTTCCTTCTGACAAGTATGTGTGGTGGCAGCTAGAAAATTTGTGCAACTCCATAAATCTTGTATGGGTGAGGCACTTTTAATTATAACAAAGAGCTCTGGCTCTCCTCTCCGTTACTTCTTCCCACCTCCATCTGCATATCCCTCATTCTGTGGTTGGCTCTTCAAGCACTAACGGGCTTTCATACATTATTTAAGAGCTGACTATGACGAGTCATTTGCTGCCATACAGACTCACCTTTCCCTCCCTCAGGAGCAAGCTGCATAGCTTCAGCGGTGATAGCTGACCCCAGGAAGACCTTTCTTTACTGCACTGTTGATTAATTGTTTTGGTTTGTATGGTGGGGGAATAAAGATGGAAAATAATGTCTCAGTGGGGTTAGGGGCAGAAACTCCATTTCTTGTTATGTTCTCTTTAGAAAAGATGTGCTGAACTCTAATTGCTTTGCTTTCATAAATTAAATAAACAACAATTGTGCTAAATAAATGAACAGAAAAATATGAAGTCAAAAAGAAGTATCTTAAAGGAAAGGATCGGTGCTGGGTCCGTTGTTGTTCTCTCTGTATTTGCTACCTCTGGGTTCTATTTTTACGAAACATGGACGTTCTTTTCATCTATATGCAGACGACACCCAGGTTTATATTCCCATTAAACGTGGCCTACCCAATTCTTTAGATCCTCTTCTAAACTGCATCGATAAGGTTAAAACCTGGATGTCTGCAAATGTTTTACATTTTAATAATGACAAGACTGAGGTCATGCTTTTTAGTCCTAGTGTGTCCAGTGGGCCATGTTCTGCTGACCTTGGTCCACTAGCCCTATTTTTGAAACCTGTAGCGACCAGTCTGGGAGTCCAGCTTGACAGTGATCTGCTTCTGGAAAAGCAAATCAGTGCCGTCACCAAAGCCAGTTTTTATCAGTTAAGGAGGATCGCCAAGGTTAAGCGTCTGCTCTCAAGTCATGACTTTGAGACAGTGATTCACGCGTTTATTACATCACGCCTTGACTATTGCAACACACTGTACCTTGGTCTTCCTCAGTCTCACCTCTCCTGTCTTCAAATGGTGCAAAATGCAGCAGCACGCCTATTGACGGGTTCGAGAAAGAGGTAGCACATTACCCCAATTTTAGCTTCGCTGCACTGGCTGCCTGTCGATTTTAGGGTCCAGTACAAGGTTCTTTTATTGGCTTTTAAAGCTGTACATGGCCTTGCTCCGCAGTATCTTTGTGAACTTTTAGTTGCTCACTCCCCGTCTCGGTCACTGAGGTCGGCCGACCAGTTTCTCCTGGAGGTGCCGAGAACCAAGAGAAAGCTCAGGGGTGATAGAGCTTTCTCAGTAGCAGCTCCAAGGTTGTGGAATGCACTCCCAATTCAGATTAGGATGGTTTTGTCACTGTCGGGTTTTAAATCACTTTTAAAGACTCCTCTGTTCTCAGTTGCTTTTACTTCAGTTTGAGAATGCATCTGTTTTTAGTAGCTTTTATGTCAGTTTGATATGTTTGTTTTTATCATGTTTTTACTTTGTGATGAACTTTTTATCTTATTTTTAGAATTTTTAGGGAACTTCTGTTCTTTTTGGCTTGTTAAGCACTTTGGTCATGCTTTTATGCTGTTGTAAATTGCTTTATAAATAAAGTTGACTTGACTTGACTAAATGAAGTTGAACAAACCTAATGAATGACTGACTGATGGACACTACAAGGTGACAGCTTTAAATAATATCAGGATTCTGAATTTAAAAATGTGTTTGAGCATTCTGGCTAGATGAGAGGAAGACATGCTCACACAAACAAGAAAACGTTACTTGATGTGATGCCACTGCTTAGAAATACCCAAGATGCCTGGCCTGGTTTCTGCCTCTTTGTTACTGCTCCCTTTTTCTGTCTCTTGCCATAACATTATAGCTCAGTAGCTATCCCATGTGCCAGTCAACCCTGAAGACCTGTCTGCCTCCTGTACATCATACCCTCCTGCCGTCTACTTCCTTCAGATATGATCAGGAAGAAGCAAAAATGAAAGCTGTATCCCACCTTAAAACCATCTCTGCAAGCAGTCTCAGGACTCTCTTCAGAAGCCCTGAAACTAGCTATAGGCATGACGGCTGATAGTGGGAGGGTCTGTCTCCTTCACTTTCTCTTTGAACTTCCGGCTCTGTTTGACATTTCTACAGGTAGAGCACATCAATTTCCTTTGTTTCAAAAGTGTCTCTAATTTTTAGTTTGTGTTTGAGTCCCGTTCCTCTTTTCCCATCGGTGAGACGGCATGTCTAACACATGCAGTGCTTGAACACTTGTGGATATTAGAGAATGTAGTAAGAACTTTAAAGCAGTACTTAAGTGCATCATAATTTAAACAGCCAAGGGAAACATGAATTCCTATACTTGAGGGGGTGTGCTGAAGAGGAGGCAGATAGAGGAGGAAGAGCAGAGGCCCCAGCACAGAACCTTGTGGGACACCATGGGTAAGAGAGATGGTGGAGGGGACTTGAGGGGGTGTGCTGAGTGTTGATGAAGACAATTTTTTCATACTTATCTGTTGGTGTGCCAGTGTTGTGAAGCAGTTCTCTGCCAGAACAACAAGGGGCGTAGCTCTTTTCTGGGGTATCTGCCATCATTGCTGCCATGTTTGTAGTGCATTTACTATTGTGTGTAGACCTGGGACGATAACAAATGTTGCTGGACGATGTATTGTCCAACAAATTATTGACAATAAATGATAATATTGTCGACATTATCAAGACCAAAATAACCACTTATGTAATGTTAATATATTATAATAATGCATATCAGAAAAATGTATGTCTGGTGTTGAAGGTTGCAAGTGATATTTTTCAAAAAAAGTGTTAAAAGCCCTCTCTCGCTCTCTCTCTCTAAACTTCATTTAGTGGATGAGTAAACATTTCTTTTTCTGCTTTATTTTGATTTACATGTAGTATTCATAATCACATTTTAGAGGAAAAATCTAAACCAAGCTGAGTGTCGGAGGACAAGAAAAGAGGATTTAACATGCCTTTAGTTTCAAACGTCCTACTTTAGGGGGTAATGTGATGCAATAAGGTGATAAAGTAGAAGCATGTCAAACATTTAGTTAGATTTTCTTTAAAAGGAGGCATGGTTGCGTGTATGACAGGTTTTGATAAGTCTACTGACCCATGACGGCATCATGAGGGACTAAAACTGGATTTTAACAAGTCCTCCTGGCATCTACTGGTCCTGGCCATTAGCTCATGTGTATTCACGCTCATAAACACAAAACACCCAAGCTAATATCTTTGGTAGTTGCATTATGAATGACGGCTGATGTATCTTCCAGAGACTTGTGTGTTATCAGAGATGCTGAATTGGACTTGACATCATTTTTTTTATTATTATTTTTTATCTTTAGGGAATGACTCGTCTGTTTTCTAAGAAACTGACTTCCAGTGTTGTGATGTTATCTCTCACATGTTTTCTGCAGCTGCCCTTCACTCTGACTCTGATGCTTTGGTCCGTATCTCAGTGCGTGCCTTTATAAAAACAGTAAATGAAGTCAAATGCCTTGAAGCTTGACTGCGTTTAACATTGTTGCTTGCTTGCTGTGACAGCTCCACTGCCCTTTCAGAGCGCAGGCTTTGGTTTGCTCTTCCCACTTAAAGCCAACTAGAAACATCTGTTGTTGTTAGTGTTAAACATCCTCGTAGGAGGACTGATGTCCCTGTTACCCAATATTTATCACTTCTTGGGGAAGCCAAATGCTCAGCTTCAACAACAATCAAAGCCACAGAGCTCACAATGAATTCTCAGACCTTTTAGAGTCATCTTTAGAAGGATTTGTTTTATCTTATGCACAAATGATAAAACTAATGTATGACTGAATTAAGTCTTTTTGTTCATTTGGTTTTTAACTCATTTCCTTTGTTTTTTCTGCAACTATAGATCATTTCAAACGGAAGATTTACAGACGATTATCTTGGCAACGTGGCATCATTCCTAAGAAGAAAATCTACAAAAAGGTGACCGAGGAGGAAGAGGAGGAGCCAGAGGCAGAAGTGGAAGCTGCAGGTCCCAGTGACTCGTGTCTGACGCAGGACGAGGACTCGTCTTGTGATACCACAGGTCCCCAGCCCAATGGTCATCACCCCCACATCACCTCAACAGAGGAGGAGAGCTCCAGTGAGCCCCTTGTGGCAGCTCGTGCTGATCTCCCAGATGCCAGTGAAACAAAAAAGGGAACAAAGCCTGAAGAGGAGGTGGAGCCCAGAGCCACAGAGGCAGAGTCTGAGAATATGGAGAAACACTCAGAGCCGCGCTGCCTTGGTGGCAATTCCGTACTGAATGCAGACAGGGACAGTCGGGCCCAACAGGCCGACTTCCAGCCTTTGATTGAAACGTTCAAGTCCTCAGATGCTCAGGTCCCGCCTAAACACACAGAGGGTCTCCTAGTTTCTCAAATGGGCAGCGTGAATGGAACTGAGTCCATGGATAGCCTGGATTTACATAGTCTCAAGAGGAGCAGTGAGGCAGACACAAGGACTCCTCAGAGCCCCGCTGAGGGTGGTAATAAAGATCAGAAAGAGCACAAAGAGCAGAGTGTCAGTAAACCAACTCAGGAGCAACATCCTGTGGATGGTGGGCCCATTACCAAAACCGTGGAGGAGGATCAAGACACAGACGGTACAAAACTTTTCTGTCACACAACTTGTTCATTATAAAGCTTTTCCGTTCTCTTCAATTTAAACTTTATTTATACATGCTGGTTTTCATTTTCACACACTGTCATTGAGTCCCCCACCACCTCACTGTGATAACAGATTCCTAGTTTAACCCAGACTTTTGCTTATTAACACGGATTAAAGCCTAAAGCTGCCACTCCTTCTCCTTTACACATCACTCAGAATAGATTTACTCTGTACCCTCTTAATGTGGGGACGGGGTGGAGGGTGTCAGCGCTGTTAGACACAACATGGACAAGTGTTTTCCTGTCAGTAGGAGGTGGTCTTTATGGTTTAGTGCAGCAGAACACAATTCTGGTCAAGAAATTAAATCTGTTCCCATTAATCTGCCTAGTCAATGGTGGCACAGGAGTTAAGTGCTCGCCCCGTAATCGGAAGGTTGCAGGTTCGAGCCCCACTCAGTCTGTCGCTGTTGTTGTGTCCTTGGGCAAGACACTTAACCCACGTTGCCTGCTGGTGGTGGTCGGAGGGACCGGTGGCGCCAGTGCTCGGCAGCCTCGCCTCTGTCAGTGCGCCCCAGGGCAGCTGTGGCTACATCGTAGCTCATCACCATCAGTGTGTGAATGTGTGTGTGAATGGGTGAATGACTGGTTGTGTTGTAAAGCGCCTTGGGGGGTTTCAGGACTCTAGAAGGCGCTATATCAAATACAGGCCATTTACCATTTACCATTTAGTCAGTGCCTACAGATGAAATATCTTATCATTTATGTGTAAACTGTAAGTGAGGATACTCTCTAACCAACCAACAGTAGAATGACTGTAAAAAGTCACCCACTCATATGGGGCTTTCACATCTGGGTCGGCACGGCCCAGCCACGGTAGGTGACATCTGGATAATATGTGCATTTTTTGTGCTCAACCGACCATTTTATTTGATCATCTTCCGCGTTGCTGTCAGAGTCTCAGCCGCTTCTTACGGACCAGTTTTCATCAGCTTGCTTGTTTCACAGAGAATGTTCTACTAAAATCCATTTTAGCAGCTATTTTACAGAGTTTGAACGGAGGGTGAGTGTGCGCGAGCTGGAAAGTTGGTTGCTTAGTGACAGTGATGCTGTCCTTGATTCGCTGGAAAACTTTACCATGTAAACAGTAGAGCCGTCACGCTGACGGCTTGTGAGAGACAAAGACAAAAACAACAGTTTTTTAATACATTATTTTATGGAAATTATAACACAAAACTAAAGGACACACATTAATAGGAAAAGCCAGGACAACATGAGATCCATCTAATTAAAGTTATTACGTATAAGAATGATCAAAACGATTGCCTTGGGAGTTCTGTTGTTAATTTGCAGACGAGGTTAGACCGTTGCCATTCTGACTCATTTTCCAGTAAAAATAAAAGCTAACCTAGATTAATGTTTGACTAATTACCTCTCTGTTATCGGGCCTACAGCATTGATTAAATTTCTCATTTCTAGCACAGCTAAATAAATGTAAGTCAAACTAGTTGTTATATCTATAGTTTATAATGCTGTTATGTTAGAAATGAGCTCTATTTTGATTATTACCAGTAAGTAAATAAGTAAGTAAACTTTATTTCTATAGCACATTTCACATGATAAAAGCAAACAGGGCTTCACAATTAAATAAAACATTTCAGTCCTTGTCTGATAAAGGATCAAAACATGTGGATATTTACCCAGAGTAGGCTTTTACTAAATTTTGTACATAAAGTAAGTTTGGGCGACTAGTCAATTTTATGGACCATCGACGTTAGGCTGAGCCCTTCACTGATCATATTTTAAAAGCAATAATTTTTGTTTTGCCAATAAATTAGCACACAGGTGAGAAAAGTAAAAGCCAAGTCAAAAGGTTTTATTGTCGATTCTACCACATGTGCAAGACATACAGAGAAATGAAATTGAGTTTCAGTACACACAATTCAGAGATCAGACATACATGGGCAAGACACATGACAAGAATTGGTGACTGTGGTCCTTCGCAACATGAGTCGCACTACCTTAAAAAGATGAAAAGGGAATTACATGAGGTTAAATTTGGGGAGGGAAAAAAAAGGCACACCAGAGTTACTCCCGGCAGGGCGTAGCTGTACTATGCAAAAAAAAAAAAAAAAAACGCCTCAAACATGTAAGCACGAACATCACAGTTCACAACATGTGACTCCGATGGGGGGCCTGGGATCCTGGTTCCCCAGCGGGAGCAGCCCTGTGTGGCGCTCAGCCAGCTGTATCCACAGGAGGGAGGGAGATTGGAGGAGCGCAGAGCACATTTGAGTTTCCTGCAGATTGATGACCTCGCTAGGCAGAAGTCCACAATCTGAAGGCGGGGGGTTAGAACGGGTTTCCACAGCATCCGTCTGCATTCCTTCCTTCGTGGGGGTTGTTGTTAGCAGCTCAAGGCTGCCTTGGCATCAGATTTGGATAACAAGACTGTGTTTGGGTCAGGCAGAGATAATTTTCCCCTCTGGCTTCAGTCTGTAACTGGTCATTCCAGTAAGTTCTCCGCACAGTCCGATGACCCTCTCCGAGATGACATCCATTTTGCGCACTAACACCGGTAACGCAGCTAAGACATTACATGCTTCCAGATAAATAAGCTTCTTTTAAAAGTCTTTTTATGTACTTACGTACTGGAAAGCTTGGATTCTTGTCATTCCAACAAGCCATAACTTGTAAATGCATTTGTCAAGCCACTTGGAAATTCAAAATAATGTCCAAGGAACTATTTGAAGACTCATGATTGACAGAATATATCCTTCTCAAACAAAAATAGTCTTTATGTCCACAAGGATCCAATAAAGGTACCCCAACAAAAAAGTTGGTCCACAAGTCCATCTATCCGTTTTCCTCCCCTTAACCCGAGTCGGGTCACGGGGGCAGAAGCCAAGGCACAAAGGCCCAGACGTCCCTCTCCGCAGCCGCTCAGGCCAGCTCTTCCCGGGGATCCTAAGGCATCACCTGGCCATCTGAGACATAGTCCCTCCAGCATGTCTTGGGTCTTCCTTTACGTCTTCTCCTGGTCGGACGTGCCTGGAAAACCTCACCAGGGAGATGTCCAGCAGGCATCCTAATCATATGTTTGAGCCACCTCAACTAGCTCCTCTTGATGTGGAGGAGCAGCAGATCTACTCAAAGCCCCTCCTGGATGACTAAGTTTCTCACCCTATTTCTAAGGAAGAGCCCAGCCACCATGCAGAGAACACTCATTTGGGCCGTTTGTATTCACAATCTTATTCCTTAGGCCATTACTCAAAGCTTGTGACCATAGGTGAGGGTAGGAACATAGATCAACCATTAAAATCGAGAGCTTCGTCTTCTGACTGCTCTCCCTTTACAAAGATAGACTGGTGCAACACCCGCATCACTGCAGACGCAGCACCAATCCACCCATAGATCTCTTATTCCATCTTTCTCTGACTTGTCTCCAAGATACTTAAACTCCTCCACTTGAGGCAGAGCCTCATCCCTGACCAGGAGAAGGCATTCCACCCTTCTCTGACTGAAGACCATGGAGGACCTGATTCTCATCCCAGCTGCTTCACACTCAGTTGCAAACTGCTTCAATGAAAGCAGGAGATCATGAGTTTTGCATCAAGTCTTGCATCCAAAATCAACCATAATATAAAACATTCAAAATTTCACTTAGATGTCTCTCACAACGTTGTCACCATTATATCTGTTAGCATCCTGATATTAGCTTCAGACGTTTACAGAACCAACCCTGATGTGTCAAATAGGCAGCCTTAATTTAGTGTTTTGACATTACTAGATGGTACCAGCATGACTTTAATTGGCCACTGGCCAAAGTAGTGTACATCACAGCTTAGGGACATAACATTTAAACAGAAACACAGGGCTTTAGTATTAAATGTACTGCAGTAGACACCATCCCGTATGCATCCTACATCAACATCGAGTGTATTATTTACTATCCCTAAGGGGCAGCTAGTTTCTCCCAGTAGTGGTTACAAACAACTTATTTGACACAACATGCATGCTGCATAAAATAATTTAAAAATCTCAAAGCAGTCATAGTGATTGGACTTTCCTCCATCTCTCATGAATGCATTACATTTGTTTTTGGTCCCAAATGATCCAGTGTTTGACCCAAACTTATTTTAAACTAATAAATATTCACTATGTAGAAAAAACAGAGGACAAACAAACCAAAGACATTTAAGCTTTTATGCCTCCATTCTGCAATTCGTTTTTGTAATGAAGCCTGCTTGAACACTGAAGTAATGGGTTTAAAATAAGGTAAAAATGACTTAGTGTTTCATTCACCAGCTACTAGTCCTTTCTAGAAGACTATCATCTTTTATTGACTTCTCCTGCACTTACCCTGTATTCATGGTCATGTGTTTCGCTTCTCTAAAATTGTCCAGTTTTGTTTCTTCGGTCGTTCAGAAATTTTCCAAAATGTGGTCCTAAATTTAGTTGGCCTGGTGTGGTTTTTATGTTGTTTTTGGCAGCATGCACCCAGTTTAATTTCTGGCAGCAGTCGATTTCCGTCCATCTAATAAACCCTTTTTCTCATCGTAGATGGTTCCAAAGAAAGGACGCACATGTGGAGCTTGTCGGAGCAATTAAATGAGCCTGCCGGAAGGACAGAGAAGGAGAGACAACCCCCACCCCCACGTCCTCCAGTAGTGATCGACAACGAGCGACTTTTGGTAATTAATTTTTTCAAATTATTGTTGCTTCAAGCAGGGTAAAAGCGTATCACAGTAATGTGCAGAGAATTTAGCAAACACGGAGATTGCCGAATAGTTTCAAAGCAAAAGTAAAGCAAAGATGGTTTTATTCTTTTTAACACTAAAACCAAAATTCCCACAGGGTGGAAACTCTAGCTAGACACCAGAGAAGAAAAATCCATGGCATAAATGTGGTTTGTAGACATGGCATCAGGTATTTGATGCAGCTTTTAGTGTGAAGGTGCTTTATGTCACATTTCAAGTGTAGATTCACGGCTGTGCCTGGTATCAATCTGACAGGAATGCACACATTTTTAAACCTTTCTCTTTTATGTGACAAAGTTGCTTTTACTTTAAAGCACATCTTCTACAGTCATTTCTGATTTGTTCTAGCTTTTATACTCGTGCTGCCTTTTCAAAAGTCTTCCAGACTAAGAAATGTTCTTCCGCTCTCATACCGCTGGAGTCTTTTGGTGACAAATTTAGCGTTAAACACACAATCACAAAATCTCACTAATCCAAAACTAATCTAACCCCCCCACACAGAGGGCTGTGTTGCTATTGTGGCCATGGAGAGAGCCATGGAAGGAAATTTGGGGGGGGGGGGGGGGGGGGGGGGGGGGGGGGGAAGAGGAGGAGACAGGGGGGTCATGTCCCCCCACTTTGTCCAAAGTCAAGTTTTGACCCCTGTACTTTTTACCATCCGAAAACAATATTACGCTATATTAATTTGACACTGGTTGAGCTCTAGGACCAACCGGAAAACAACTGTTTGTGTTGAAGCCTGTTTCCCATTAGAGCATACTGTAAAGATCCCCCCCCCCCATGTCCCCCCCATTTCTAAAGTGAAAATTACGTCCATGGAGAGAGCAGAGCCTGTCGGGGCTAGTAGAAGCTAATTGTTAGCATTAACAACTCTACAGCATCTCTGGTTTGGGCTTCTGTCCTTTTTGGAGATAACACATCATTGCATTATTTACCCAAGAAAATAATTTATTCAGTATTAACCCTTTGCACCTACGTAACCTGGTCTTGTAGGTCTGCCATAGTGGACGTCAACAGTGAATTACTCGAGTATTGAATACAGGGCAAAAATGGCAACTGAGGATTTCTCATTTTTTGGCAGACTAAAATAGAATAGACTTTATTGTTACCACAGTGGGGAAATTCACTTGTTACAGCAGCGCCAACACTTAAGAGAATAATTTGAAGAAAAAATAATGACAATGTACATGTATATATACACATAGGCAGTAGTTTAGAATTGTAACCTTCGACCACTAAAAGCCACGAATAAAAAAAGAAGAAAAACTTGGGTTCCAACTAGGGCAGGGCAATATGGCCAAAAATATTTATCACGATATATATATGAAAATTTGCGATAACGATATAACTGACGATATGACTGATGCGAGACAAAGTACTTTACAAATTAACAACTTTATTAGTGCAAAGAACCCACCAATATATTTTCACTTAAGCAGCAGTTTTTACGTGCATCAAAACGTACATTAAAATGTATGTGCAAATGGGCTGAATATCCTCCTGAGCCAAACCATTGGTAATATCTCATAACTTAAAGTGTTGCTTTGCAACATAAAACTCAAACTCTTGAGTAAAAAAAAAATACATTAAAAAAAACATGGATAAAGTGCCCTTTTCAAGTTTTAAGATTTTTTGTCAGAAACACCAACATGTTCACAGATGTGGGCTTAAGGGAGGATCGTAGACAAGTTACGTTTCCACCTGTACTGAACAACCTTTCAGATGCAGAGCTAGTTGCTGGAATGCAGAAGTACTTCCTAGCTAATCTGCTGATGTTGGGAAAGTTTACCGTGTGAACCTTCCACCACAAAAGAGGATCACACTCACTGTCTGCTGGTGGACTATTCACATAACTGCTCAGTTCAGATAGCAACCTTTCTGCAGTTACATCGGTCTTGCCACTAACAGGTCCCTTCAAAAAGCTCCCGAGACTCTTTTTTGGCTTTTTAGCAGCTCCCTGACTTGTTTGGTCTCCAGCAGATGTGGGAAGTGTTTCTGAAACACCTGTGGCTGTGCTACCCTGGTGTGACACAAGATGCTCTAGTTCACTCATGACCTGAACTTTGATGGCTTCGCTCTCACTCTCGCTGAAATATTCTGTGCGAAAACGTGGATCAAGTAGAGAAGCCATGTTAATAAGCCTCTCTGTGATGCTGTCTTTGTAGCTTTTGTTCATGTAGTCGAGTATTGCTGTTTTGATGTCTTTGGTCAGTGGTGTGTCACTCTCTTTTACTTTTAACAGGTCGTTGTTAAACATCTGAAGAACAGGCTTAACACATGAAATGGTCACATACTCTTCAGCAGAAAAAGCATCTGTAAACTCTAGAAGTGGACTCAATGCAGCGCTGACGGAGTCAAGCACCTGAATGTCTTGCCATGTCAACATGAGGTGCCTTGTGGTTTTATCAGCAGCTAAAACCTGTGTTATAGCCTTTTCTTCTTCCAGCAGTCGCTGGATCATTCTCTGCTTTGAGCCCCAACGAGTGCAACATTCAGTTATGAGTTTGTGTTCTGGTAGGCCCAGTTCTTTTTGGGCAGTCTGCAGAGCACGCTGGCGCTTCCAGCTGTGGCCAAAGGCACCAACAATCTTCTTTCCCACTCCAACTGCTCGATCAATCCTTTGGTCCTTCACACTTCTTTCTAAAAAAGACAAATTTAAAGGAAAACGGTGAATTGCTCAACACCAATATTAATGCAGTGTGGAATGTGTGACATTTAAGTTTTATGTATAACACACACACACACACACACACACACAAACTTAAAAGGTCTTACAGCATAAATGCGCACATCCAGCCTTCCTGTTCATTTTTAAAGACATCTAAAGATTAATAATATAAACATTACTATCATTTAAACTAATGCAAGAAATGCTTAATCTGACATTCTAAGCAATTTACCTATGGCAACGTGCAGGCGATGTCCGAAGCATGAAAGTCTGGTCCAGTTGTTGAGTGCGACAGCCTTCACAACGTTGGCCCCGCTGTCTGTCGTCACACACACCTGTTTTTCCTCCTGAAGATTCCACGAGCTGAGGAACTCTTTTAGGCCTTTGGCTATATTTTCCCCGGTATGGTCCTCGGGGAAAAAACTTGTTTCAAGGCACTTGTTTTTTAGCTTCCAGTCTTTGTCCACGTAATGTATTGTGAGGCTCATGTAGGGGTCTGATGTTCGGCTTGACCACATGTCCGTGGTGGACGCAAAAAACTCCACAGACGATAATGCATTTGCCACCTCAGTACGAACCTCTTCATATAAAGCAGGCAAAGCGACTTTAGAGAAGTATTTCTTGGTGGGCAGCTTGTAGCGTGAATCAAACGTTTTAAGCATCTTTGTGAAACCTTCCTTTTCCACACTCTGAATGGGCATCATATCCCTGGCTAAACAATGCGTTACTGCATTAGTTAGTTCTTCCCAGCGTTTGCTACATTTGTCATACGGGGTGCAGCTGTTTATAGCTGTGCCGATTGTTTGTTGAGCCAGCTTCTTTGGTCTTACCACCGCACTTGTTGAAGGGGACGCATCTTCGCGTGCTTTAACAGCTTTGTTGTACTCCAAAAAGTGCTTCTGCTTCAAATGATGAAATAAGTTTGTGGTGTTTCCTCCCTTCGCCACGACGGCCCGCTTGCATGTTCTACAAAAAATTGTGCTTTGTTGGGTATCTGACGGGCGGAAACCGAACCAGTTCCACACCACTGAAGTAGCACCTTTTTTAAAAACAAATTCTTTTTCATTCAACGAGCCGCTTTCGCCCTTCTCCTCCGTCGTCGCCATGCTTTTTCCGCCATGTGCGTATGAGCGTATGAAAACAAAGGCACTGCGCAAGCGCGTTTTACCCATTCTATCCTATCGCGATATTTCATTTTCTTATCATTGCCCACCATTGTACCGGTATTACCGTGAAAGGTATGATATGGCTCAGCCCTAGTTCCAACTATGCAGCATACTGCAAGAGACACGGACATACTACACTCAACAAAAATATCAACGCAACACCTTTGTTTCTGCTCCGATTTTTCATGAGATTGACTTAAAGATCTAAAATTCATTTCAGATACACAATATTACCATTTCTCTCAATCATTTTTCACAAATCAGTCTAAATGTGAGAAAGTGAGCACTTATGCTTTGCTGAGATAATCCATCCCACCTCACAGGTGTGCCACATCAAGATGCTGATCTGACATCATGAGTAGTGCACAGGTGTACCTTATACTGCCCACAATAAAAGGCCACCCTTTACCATTTTACTGTGAAGTTGACAAAATAAAAGCGGGCTTGTTTTGGAGTTGCTTAACAGGAGCTTCATCATGCATTAACAGTTTCTTTGTAGTCCATCATGGCGAGAGAGGCTTTCCCATAAGTAACGTGATGTCACGGGTCAATTCTGAGATTTGTAATTGAAGGCGGCAAAAGAGTGGCATTGCTTTTAGCCAATCAGAGGCAAGGTATTTCCATATCATGAATATTAACAAGTAGCACCTGTAATCCTGCCGTTATACTACCCCCCCCCCCCCCCACACACACACACACACACCTCCCACCCCATTTCTCTAAGAAACTTAAACTTGCTGAAAAAGGAGCATTAGAGCTTTAATTACCCAAAGATAAGGATTCACAAGGCATTTGCTCATACTAGAGACTACAGCAGATTTATTGAAACACATTAGCCAGGATTTCCAAAGTTACTAAAAGGGGGATTAGATGTCAACATTCACATTCGTAATGGCCTTGTATATGAGTTAATAGAACTTCCAGCAGAAGCCTTGTGTGATGTAATAATGGATTCATCATTACCAGCTGCCATTGGCTGCACCTAAAGGGACTATATGGAAGTTTGACAGTCAAAACATGTATAGAAATAATAAATGTCTTCTTCATACATTCTCCTGCAATGCCCTGGTCCTGTAGAATGAGCCCTGGCATTTTTACTG